ACAATTGTAAATCGGCTGATTCATCGATTTCATGCTCATACATTGGAATTGCCGAAATTGCAACTGGGAACTACTTCCTTTTATTTCGTTATCCTTACTAACTATCGTCAATTTTCCTCTGTTTCTTTTGTATGTTTGTCACACTATTGTGACTCGCTATTTTCGGGGTGCCTTGATAGTCGGAGTATACCTTTTGCTGTTGAAGCTAGAGAGGTGAACAGAGTAAGCCTGATTCCCTGTAAGGACTTCTCTGTTGACATCCACCCCTTGGCGCTCATATGACCATATGCAGTTGCCAGCGCTGTAAAACCTTACTTTAAAAAAACAAACAAAAAAACATCAGATAATTTAGAAGGTGAGCTCGTTTGACCGTGACACTTACATGACCTAATTGTGTTGCAAGTGCCGTAACACGCTTACTATAACTAAAACTAAAACTACCTACCCGTACGAGTGCCGAATCACGTATCGCGGATCCAGCAGGGAAGAAAATCTTGACTGTTGCATCGCAGACGCCTTGGATGAGAGCTTGGGCATTAGGCATATCATCACATATCATGACATATCATGACATATCACCTCCTTCTAGACGTGGAGAGGGGGCGGAGGGTACTTGCTAGATATCCCAAGGCGTCATATCCCGAGGAAGACGCTAAGGTACTTCAGAATTACCAAGCACCATCTGCTTAGTTCCCAGTTTTGAGAAATTTGGCGTAAAAAATTAAAATTTTTTGAGTCTCACAACATGTCAGGCTTTTTCGAATTCAGTTCTTTGAATATTTGTTGGTGGTTGGCGGGTGCTCTTGTGTGGTTTGCTCCTTCTTTTCTATCAATTATCTGTGGTCCTTATCTCTCCTTTTTTGTGTTTGTTACTCTCCTGTAGCACATCTATTCTTCGGCACCTGTATGACCTTATTGTGTTGCAAGTGCCGTGAAACCTTTACCAAAACTAAAACTTTGAATATCTTGATAACGATTCCGGATACTAAAACTAGACTGTCACTTGAAAAGTCCTGGGTTCGATTCCCTGGGGAGCCCTAGTTGTTCTCATCCTTTCTGCCGTCTCTCCCCCCCCTCCCCCCACATCCTCTTTTTCCTGTCTGCAGGCTGGTGTATCTCGGGCCCAAGTTATTATTCCTCGGATTATTTTTCTCGGTGTCTAGAAAACAGTACATTTTTTTCAACGGCAAGAAGAAGAAGAAGAAGAAGAAGAAGAAGAAGAAGAAGAAGAAGAAGAAGAA